GAGATTGGAGGATTGGTTGGGCCTGGGAGGCTGAGGCTGCAGTGAGCTGTGATTGTGCCACTGCACTCCATCCTGGGTGACAGAATGAGACTGTGTCTCAAAAACAAACAAACAAACAAACAAAATTCCTCTGTAACACTACTGATGGCTACTGAGCTTCTACTTGTATACTTCCCGTATTGATATATTTTCTATCCTATTCAGCAACTTATTCTGTTGCCAATAAGTGTTAAAGTTCTTCCTTATGTGGAATGAAAATTTGCTTTCTTGGATTTTAAAAACTTCTGTCTATGCTCTGCTCTATGGAGTTCAGCATGTGCCCATTCTCACTTAAAAATGACACTCCTTACAGTGTTTGAGGTCAGATTTCATACAAATCATGTACCCCATTTCTCAAATGACTCTTTTTCTCCAGGACCTTTATTATCTTGGACACTTTTCTCTAAGACATTTTCTCATTCATTGATATAAAATATACTTCTATAAAAGAACATACTTGGAAGATAAATAAAACAAGGAAATGGGAGTACACCATGAAATACAGAAATCATTTTATTAACTGTGACCCATCTCTCTACATGCAACCTGATTTGGTTAGAAGAGCAATCCTTGGATGCGGAAGTAAATACAATGCAATGGCCTGCTTTCTTTTTCTCCTTCCTTTTTTGCCTTGACTAGAGTGACTGTAGTCTGGTTTACCCAAGACAGTCTCAAAGTATCCGTTTTCGGCTAGTGTAATTATTATGGTGCCCCTCTTCTCTTTCAAAACCTTATTTTGGTCACGCTAGTCTTGAACCACTATCTGCATACATTGTCCATAGTTTGAAATAAATCATACCACAAGTTTTGGCTATGTGCCAGAGGTAGCAAAACCTACAACCTGTTCAGTTTTTGGATTTCATCCAAGTGAGATGTGCTGATTGAGTCAAGGAGTTTCCATGCTGGACAAGTATGTACTTTTGCTTGATCAGTGCTAGATAATAATGCTTCAAAACATTGTCTAGTAGTCTAATTAGAGGACTCTGTGTGATACTTGTGACACTGCCAGATGGAACACGTTCAAGGAGAAGGACAACTATGCAGCCACAAGAAACACATCCTATCACTTTGTGCCTGAAGAAATTATGTTCTATCATCACACTGTTAATCAACTGACAATACAATTACTTACAGTTCATTTATGCTGCAATAAATGTAATTCTGATATATTTAGGATTACATCTATCAGTTTACTATTTGTTTCCTATTTGTTCAAGCAGTTCTATGTTTCTTTAAAAATGTAAAGAAGACATGTTGATCAACTGATTAATGTTTCAATGGCCTTATTTTCCTGAATAGCTATAGGAGTGTTCAAAATAGAAATAGACCACATTCCAAACATGATGCATCACTATAGTGGTTGCAGAGGAAGAGCAGATTGAGTGAGCTATTTGTAAGGGCACCCAGAAAATTTATCACTAAAAGTGAAACATTTTTGAGAGTGAGAGAGGGTGCTATTAATAATTATTCTGGAATGACAAGTGTAAACCAGGACAATTCCAGGCAAACAAAGATGTATAGTGACCCTAAACAAATATGTATTTATTGTATTGTTTAATTTATTGTATTAATTAATTGTTTCCTATTAGGGAACTGTGCACAAGAATTCTGATCATGGAAGCTGGCGATAGGAAGTTTGTTGTATTTGCTGTATTAAGTGTGTACCTTAAGTAATAAACAAGTTCTATGGTTAGGATTTGGTCCAAGCAAATTAAATGTCTAGAATTTACACATCCAGAAATTATAAATGTACTATATCATTTGTAGGCATCAAGATTAGTAAGTATTACATGAATCAGGTCTTAAATAGGTTGGGAAAAGTACAAGTTGTTTTGAGATACCTCAATCCCTCTTCATTCCCATTACTAATCATGAAAACAACACAAATGTTTCTGTTTTCTTCTTGACTTGGGTCACATTCCATTGTGGGGTGATGTAAGAGTTTTAGCCAAGCATAGAATAGTAATGAGCAATTTGGGAGATTCAGTTCTAAAACCTTGCCTTGGGTCACACACAACTAGCACTTAGAATCTAAGAACACGGAACCATTTGACTTGCAAGGTTAATTGTATACCTGTTGACTTTGGGCATATTTTCTAAGGTTAAACTGGAAAAACAAAGAGTCAGTTATGGTCCACTTGTTCAAGAAAAGAAATACAAGCCCGTGAGTCTTCTAGTATTTTTCCTATCCCATTGAAATATACAAGCCACCATAGCCTTCCTCTGCAAACAGCTGAGGCCTCTTGACCTCTGCTTCTAAGCCAGTAGTTCCCAGCTTGGATGCACATTAGAATCATCTAGGGGGACCCTAAAAAATCCTGAAGTGTCCAGGCACAGTGGCTCATGCCTGTAATCCCAGCACTTTGAAAGGTCGAAGTGGGCAGATCATGAGGTCAAGAGATTGAGACCATCCTGGCTAACATTGTGAAACCCTGTCTCTACTAAAAATACAAAAATTAGCTGGGCGTGGTAGCACATGCCTGTAGTCCCAGCTACTTGGGAGGCTGAGGCAGGAGAATCGCTTGAACCCAGGAGGCAGTGGCTGCAGTGAGCCGACATTGCACCATTGTACTCCAGCCTGGCGACTGAGTGCGATTCTGTCTCAAAAAAAAAAAAAAATCTTGACGCACAAGCCATACCTCAGATCAATTAAATTATCATGTGTGTGGTGGAACCTAGGCATCTGTGTTTTTAAAACACTGCAGATAATTCCAATGTGCAGGCAAGGTTGAGAACCATTGCTGTAGTTTCAACTCCATCCCCAGCTCTGCAACCATGAAGGGCTGATTTGAAGAGTTCTAGTCCAGTGCTCCAAGATGTCTGAAAGATTCAAAACTGAGTTGCAAAGCTAGTCTGACTTACCAGTTCCAGTGACTAAATTTTTAAGAGTCACAGGCTGAAGTAAGAAAAAGAGGAATAATTGGATTCGGATTTAGCTAGGCTTTTTTTTATTTTTTTGGACATCTTTTTTTTTTAGACAGAGTCTCACTCTATTGCCAAGGCTGTACTGTAGCAGCATGCTTTCAGCTCACTCCAACCTCTGTCTCCCGGGTTCAAGTGGTTCCCCTACCTCAGCCTCCTGAGTAGCTGGGATTACAAGTGCATGCCACCACACCTGGCTAATTTTTGTATTTTTAGTAGAGATGGGGTTTCACCCTGTTGGCCAGGTTAGTCTTGAACTCCTGACCTCAAGTGATCCTCCCACCTCAGCCTCCCAAAATGTTGAGATTACAGGTATAAGCCACCACACCCGGCATAGGTAGGCTTTATTTTTAAACCAGAATCACTAATTTAAATTAGCTGTATGGTCTTCGACAAGTTTACATAGTCTCACTGAGCCTCAGCTTTCTGATCTGTAAAACAGACCAATAACACCTGTTGCCAGACTGCTACTATTGCTTTTCTTAGTGAAACCGAACAACTGATCCCATTTAACCTGGTTTTGGAAGCTCCCACTTCTAAAAAACATCTGTATTTCTATCTTGATAACTTTATATTCTAGTGGCCTCTGCCCTGTTGATATAGATGCCTTCTCAATGACTGGAATCTCCTCTGACACCAGGCCGATGGTGGGATTCGGCTATTGGCTAACAGATTTCCTAATCTTATCTCTCCATGCACACGTACCTTTGCATGCTGCCACTTCTGGATTTCCTGTATCTGGGCTTCTGCTGCTTGACCAGTGGCTTGGTTGAGAACTTCTTTTTGGATATCACTGACACCTGTGGCCCGTAAGCACACATACTGTGCACCAAGTTCCATCAGCCTGACTAGATTTCCTCCTATCACCTCCAATTGTGCTATCACTCAAGTTCTACCTCAGCCCTAAGGAATGTATTGTGTTTATTCATTCAATCAGTGTTTACCGAGCATTTACCAAACCCAAGCGCTTTGTCTCTGCACACAGAAAATGTATACAGTACAGTGGAGGAAGACAAACAACAAAAGGTATAATAAGTGCAGTGACAGGGACAATACTAGGCCTTGACTTTCTCTATATCCTCTTTTCTCATCAAAGATTAACACTTTTATATTGGATTAGGTCAGAAGATAGGATCATTGTTAAAGACAAATTATTATTATTATTATTATTATTATTATTATTGTTACTTTGGAGATGGGGTCTCACCTTGTTCCCCAGGCTGGCCTAAAACGCCTATGCCCAAGTGATCCTCCCACTTCAGCGTCCTGAGTAGCTGGGATTATAGGTGCAACTGGCTTTTTTTTTTTTGAGATGGAGTCTTGCTCTGTTACCCAAGCTGGAGTGCTGCAGTGGTGCAATCTCAGCTCATTGCAACCTCTGCCTCCTGGGTTCACGTGATTCTCCCGCCTCAGTCTCCCGAGTAGCTGGTATTACAGGCACCCACCAGCACACCCAGATAATTTTTGTAGTTTTAGTAGAGACAGGGTTTCACCACGTTGGCCAGGCTGGTCTTAAACTCCTGACCTCAAGTGATCCACCCACTTTGGCCTTCCAAAGTGCTGGGATTACAAGCGTGAGCCACCGCGTCTGGCCTTGCTGTATTACTTTCAAAATGGCAAAACCCTCAAATCCTTTTGCATTAACCAAATGTGTTGGATACCTGTGTTTTGCTCTATATGACCGCTGATTATTAATTTTTTGGATAACTTTTCAAAACTCATTTTCTACTCTTTAGTCTACAGCAAGCACACTGTCAAGTCTATGTTGGAATTATCTTTGTGTACCTAAAGTGAACTCCATGCTTTTCCTTAGGAACAATTTAATTTGCTGTGGAGAAAGTGTCCTCTGGCTCTCTAAGAGTTAACTGATCTGGTTCTATCTGATCTATCTGTGAATTTCTATAAATACTTTACAGGTATGTGAACAAACCAGTGCCAGATAGTAAAGGAATTTGGTAGCCATTCCAGCAATCTACTTTACGTGGCAATCGGTGAGGATGTTATCTCAGCTGCCTTTTTTTTTTTTTTTTTTTGGACAGGGTCTCGCTCTGTCACCGTAGCTGAAGTGCAGTGGTGTAATTTCAGCTCACTGCAGCCTCGACCTCCTGGGCTCAAGCAATCCTCCCACTTCAGCCTTCCTAGTAGCTGGGACTACAGGTGTGTACCACCACACTTGGCTAATTTTTGTATTTTTTGTAGAGATGGGGTGTCGCTATTTTGTCCAGGTTGCTCTTTTTCTTTCTTCTTCTTCTTCTTCCTTTTTTTTTTTTTTTCTTTTAGAGACAGAGTCTCACTGTCACCCAGGCTGGACTGCAGTGGCATAATCTCGGCTCACTACAACCTCTGCCTCCCGGGTTCAAGCAATTCTCCTGCTTCAGCGTCCCAAGTAGCTGGGATTACAGCCACGTACAACCATGCCTGGCTAATTTTTGTTATTTTTAGTAGAGATGGGGTTTCACCATGTTGTCCAGGCTGTTCTCAAACTCCTGACCTCAGGTGATCCACCCACCTGAGTGGATGGATCCCAAAATGCTGGGATTACAGGCATGAGCCACTGCACCCGGCTCCAGGCCACTCTTGAACTCCCAAGCTCAAGCAATCCTCCTGCCTCGGCCTCTCAAAGTGCTGGGATTATAGGCGTGAACCACGGTGTTCAGCCTTAGCTGTCTTTTTACTACCATCCCCAGCCTCTGCTTATCAGTCGCGAGTTTCCTCTGTGCCTTTCTAATTCTCTTTCTCTGTGTTTTCTTCCAGCTCCTTTATGTTACCCACCAGAGGGATGAAAGCGATTGATTCTACCAGAAGCTATTGAAAAATGTATATGGCTTTTAGTAGTCGTGATGATGATGATGATGATGATGACAATTGTTTTGGCATTTTCAGATTTCAGAAGCAAATTGCTGCCTCCTGGGCACTCTACTCATGGCCAGTTAACTTTAAAGTGGTCCTGTTTGCTTTGTGGTGGTCGGGGGTGGCTTAGCAAAAATTACAAAGGAATAAAAAGCTAAATTTAGTAAGTCTATCTCTACTATGTTGTGTCTAATCTTCTTGTGCTGGTTTCCTAGAGTGCCCTCTGCTGGGCCCAACCAGGTCTTCTGACTCCCATGATACCCATGCCTCAACTGTCTTCAAAAACTTACTATTTTATGTCACATGCCATCAGAATCCTAGCATTTGCTTTCCAGATTGACAATGAACTCAGGTAAACTAATCCCTGTTAATGTGTGAATGTGTTTTATCGTAGAAATGGGAAAAAACCCAACGCCTCTCTCAGTCATTTAAGTGTACATTTCCACAATGACCTTATGGATGCACTACTTCTACTTAGTATCTAACTCTGGTGACTAATGCTGAGAATGGAAGCCAGGAATCTGGGGAAGGCTATGCTCTGGGAAATCAAAGGGGCATATATTTTCCAACAGACAGAACCTTGTGGCTCCCCTCAAATTACACTGTGTGGGCAGCTGTCTACTCAAGCTATCTGTATGGCCAAGCCCCATGGAGGTAATTTTCACCCTGTCAGCCAGAAAAGAATGAACATCATTGTTTACTTTTAAGTTTTTATGAAGAATGCCTTGAGCTCTTTAGATTGTGTTATCTAAGTCTTAATAGTAAGGAAGTATGTGCCATTGTTTTGGGGATTAATTTATCCATAAAGATAGGTATAGGTTGTACAGTCATTGGCTTGACCTCTGCTGCCCTGTGTACTTTCTTGTCTACTGAAATCAGTTGGGCAATTCTTGTCTGTAAGCACGTTTCCCAAGAACTGGTTAGAGCCAGTCTTCATAGGAGGAACCTATTATGAAACCAGCTCCGAGGATATTTACTTTGCTCAAGATCTACTGAATGCTATACTTACTTGAAAATGAAATTGCTTTCTTTTAGCTCTGACCCAGCCCCTTGAAAACCAGCGACCCTTGGGATTCAGTTAGAATGAGACAGAAAGGGGAAATGGTATGCCGGACCTGATTGACATTTTTCTGTCAATCAGGCTCAGTGACAAGCTTTTCTTATTGTTTAAACTAGTATTTGCGTAGTTGTTGAATGTGTGTGTTTCAAGAAGATCAGCTAAACTGATAACATATTATCAAGTAAATAAGGCACCCAAGATTGGGAACTTGGAGGACATAGCACACATTTTTTGAAGGCCCACCTTTTTTCTTAAAATGTAATGTGAAATTTGTATCTTTCTATTTAACATATCCAGGTCTTATTTAAGACAAAGATAACTCATATAGTTGCTTTCCAGTTAAGTTATTTAATCATCCAAATCCTCAGTTAAATAAATGCTCCAGTGAGAAACATTGTCTTATGGCTCCTGATCTAAAATTATGCCTCCCCGGGAATGTATGTATCCAAATTTGAGAAGCACAAGCTCGGAGAAATAGTGAAGGAGACAATCCAGTCAGAGAAAAATGAGTGTGTACTGATGGTCAATCTGTAGATAAGGAGGACTAGTGTAAGTTTTGTTGTAGATGACTTTCATGGGAGAGTGGCAGTGGCATTTGACGTTGAGACCTAGTACATAGTTGTACTGAGATAAAGATGTTAGGATTATCTAGATGGAGCCAGAAATGAAAAGAAAATAACCTCAGAATATGGAATCATCAGGATGGCTGTGAAAAAGGCAGAAATGTGATAAACACTAATTCAGACTTCTTGGGCTCCTTACACACTTATAGGAATTGTGGATGCACAAAGTAAATGGTATGGCATGTAAATAAAGAAGAAAATTCTGCATATTACTTTTGGCATAATAGCAACTTCTTTCTACTTTGTGAAATTCAAAAATAAATACCCTTTTAATCTAGAGAGTGCTATATACTTTTCGTAACTAGTGTCTTACATTTATTATCTATAATAAATATTATCTGTAATATTATCTATAATAAATATCTAAATAGTTATTTATAAAGTAATATATAATCTATAATTATACAATATATAATTATTTATAGGATACTTATTATATTTAATAAATAATATCTATTAATATCATAATATCTATAATTATTACTTCAAAAGTTTATTTAAAACTCAGAGTAAGTTTTCCAACGCAGTCTTCTTAGCACTGAAATTTTCAAACCAGTCCCCAGAGTGTATTTAACACACAAGGCCTCTGGAAGAGGTGTGGAGTAAGGGGCTTAAGTATCTACATTTTTAATAAACACACTTTGATGCAAGTGACCTGGACAACATCGTTAGAAACAGTATTGTAAGAGGTTGAAGACTCTTGGGATAAGGGCTGGAGACTAAGGACATCACTTGAGAGCCTGGGACAGGGTTGCAAAGGGTTGTAGAACTATATGAAGCTGCTTGTTTAGTCCATAATTCCCCTCTCTGCTACTTGGTATCTCTCCCAACTCCCCAACAAAAGTAGATACCTTGGCAGTTAGATGGAACCAACTGACCAGATCTCATGGAACCATGGTAGACACGTGACCTAGGCTAGGCCAACTAAATATTTCAACTTAAGAGTTTGGACCTGGGACAGGAATACCAGTTAACTACTAGTTGTTTGAAATGAAGAGATTCCCCGGAGCTACAGGAAGCCAGGCCTCTCTTGTGAATGGACCGGCAGAAAACAGCACACACAGAGGAAGAGGGAAAAACAGGGAGAAGAGATGAGGAACCATGGGTTGGAGATGGGGAGGGAGAGGGAGAAGGAGTAGAGGAGAGAGGGAGAAATAGAGAAAACCAGCAAGAAAGCCAGAGGGAAAGAATTTTCCCTAGAGCTTATCAATTTGCTGCTGTAGATGCTAGTTCCTCCTGTGGTCTGAGTGTGTTTTCTATAAGATATTTTTGTATCTGTCCAATAAGCTCTTCTGTCTCGCTCAAGCTAATTTAAATGTGTTCTTGGGTGAGAGGACAACCAGGAATTAAGGAGAAGCACAGCTATAATGAGCTGTGTCTTATTCTTGTGACTGCTTCCTCCCTCCAATCTTTCTCCATTCTCTCTTCCCCTTTCTACCCGGATTTCCTCAACCAAGATTGTTAGGGGAAGGAAAAAATGATTTTTCTTCTCTCCAAATTCTTGATCCTTTTCCTTTTTTGTGTTTAACTCCTTCCTCTTCTTCGTTGCAAAGAGGAAGAGAGCCTCCTTTCCTTTTGTTATTTTTAAATTATTATTATTAATTAGTCAATTTTAAAAATTAGAGATGAGATCTGTTGACTAGGCTGATCTCGAACTCCTGGCCTCAAGTGATCCTTCCATCTCGGCCTCCCAAAATCCTAGGATTACAGGCATGAGCCACTGTGCCTGGCCCCTCCTTTCCTTTTCCCATCCTTGCTTCTCTCTAAGTGTTATTCATCTCTACCCTGAATAAGAATGAGTGGCTGCGATGTGGAGGGAAGAGGAGGGAATTTCCAGGACCACTTGGCCACATGTAAGAAAGAGATTGCTGATATTAAAATGTAACACAGGGAGTATATTTATTTAAAATAGCCCATTTAACAAATGCCCAGTGAACTTAACCTTATGTAATGTTTTACGTGTTGGAACACTTCTCTGGTTGGATCAGTTTCAGTTGTGCTAATTGGACCTTTTTTTTGAGAGAGTTTCACTATGTCACCCAGGCTGGAGTACAGTGGCATGATCTCTACTCACCCCATCACCACTTCCTGGGTTCAAGCCATTCTCGTGCCTCAGCCTCCCAAATAGCTGGGATTACAGGGGTGCACCACCACGCCTGGTTAATTTTTGTATTTTTGTAAAGATGGAGTTTTGCCATGTTGGTCAGGCTGGTCTCAAACTCCTGGCCTCCAGTGATCTACCCATTTTAACCTCCCAAAGTGCTGGGATTACAGATGTGAGCCTCCACGCCCGGCCCTAACTAGGCCTTTAAAAATTAGATGCTCTTTATTGAGCTGAAAGAAAAGAATTTCAGGTGAAGAATAAAGGTCTAGATCTGTGATCAACTTGAAATATAATAGTCATTATATAAAAGTTACATCCTTATATCATAAAAATATTTTATGTTGAAAGGGCTAAGCTAAAAATGCCCCAGTTTAGACTTGGATGATGATGACGATGATGACGATTTGAGACAAAGTCTCTCTCTATCGCCCAGGCTCCCAGACTGGAGGG